TCTTGGAGGAGAGACGAAACGTTTCATTAGAGAAGAACCCGTCCAGAAGACCTATACAATTTTTTTCTTTTTGTTTTCAGAAAAACATTTAAAAACGAAGACGTGTTGGAAAATCTGAAACAAAACTGAGCGAACTGACGGAAATTTCTCAGCTGAATCTGTTGTTTTCTGCAGATAAAAATGATTTTTATGAAACAGAAATCTGCAGCTTCTCCTATAACTACTAAATAAAAGGATTTATTCAGTTGGGCTTTAATATCCTTCAGCTTTTTTTGAGTGAGCTTCCTCGCAGACGTTCTCCCTGCGTGTGGACCCCCATCAGCGGGGACAGCTTCAACACTTCCTCTCAGATTCTGTGGATTTATTTAAATCACAACAACCTTCTGCTTTCCTCAACCAAAAACAGAAAAAAAACAGAAAAGTTTCAAGAAACTAGCAGCCATAGCAACACAAACAGCAGAGACCACCTTAGCAACAAAGACATGTTTGACCCCCACCCTCCTCCTCCTCTTCCTCACCGCACATTTCTATTCATGGAGCCAGGGATTCAAACAGGCCACGCCCCTTTCTGGTGAAACCCCTCCTTTCCGATTAAAGGATGTTGCTGCTGCAGGTGATCAAAGCAGGAACATCTCTGTGCCCCCCTGAGCTGAGGGTGGGGGGCAATTAGAGCTGAGCTCAGATCTAGATCCAGATGCCGTATCCTGACCCTAATCACATAAATGTAACGTGGTGAGAGATATAATACATGGGTATTCATCAACTAATTAAGAAATGACATCACACAAAAGTGACAGGTGCCCCGCCCYWWRGGGCGGGGCACCTGTCACTTTTGTGTGATGTCATTTCTTGATGAATACCCATGTATTATATCTCTGCGGTGGTTAATTTGATGAAGTGCAGCAGCTCTGCAGGAGGTTCACATTAAAGCAAACCTTCACTCAGAGTTATTTTAAGGACACGATGATTCGGCTGCTTTAATTTGCAGAGAGATTTGCAGACATTTCACCTGATGAGAGTCGGCTTGTTTCAGAACAAGATTGCAGAAGTCAAAAACCTAATTAAGTTTTTTTTTCTTTAATTTCCATTCAGACACGTCTCTCTTATGCAGATTTGTCTTCCTTGTTTCTTCTCTTCACTTCAGTTTGTTTTCCCATTTCTCTTAAAACAACAAGAACCAAACGCTGCACGCTTTTTATTTCTTCGTCTGTTTTCAGATGTTTATATATGCTGACTCGGCTTCCTCATGTTTTTACTTGTTTAAAAGGCTTTGTGTTATTTTAGCCACCGATACATCAAAACATTCAGCTCATTCAGCAGGACCTTTCTGGTTATTTCATTTTTTTTATTATTATATTTATAAAGATTTTCACCAAAGAGATATACTGAAACCTCTTCAGTTCTATTAAAAAATATTACTTTCTTTGAAATTTGTTTTAAGAAACTTCTTCCAGCTCATTCAGCTACTTTTAAAAAGCATTTTAGACAGAATTTAGCACATTTTAGCTTTAAGACATCATTTTGCTACTTTTAGCATAGCATTTGCTTCTTTTGTTTTTTTTTTCAGAATTGTAAAGTAACTAAATACAAATACTTCTTTACTGTACTTAAGTAGAATTTTTGGATATCTTTACTTGAGTAATTATATTTCAGTCTACTTTTTACTTCTACTTCTAACATTTTCACACAATTATCTGTACTTCTTACATTTTTAAAAAGGCAAGAAGTAAAAAGTTGTTACTTTTATTTCATTTTTGCTTGTTTTTATTGCAGCTTATTATTCTAAAAAATATAAATACTATCCATATTTGTGCCTCCCACAGTGAATTTAACTGTGACTGAAAGAGAAGTATAAATATTTAAAACTCTGATACCGTATTAGTTTGTACACAAACAAATCATGTCACACTGCAGCAGGACATCATCATTAAAATAAAAAGTACTGTAGAAGTACAGTATTTGTATTTCATGAATTATATTACATTTGGCCGCAGCCCTCAGATAAATTTTCAATTTGGGGAAAATATTTGTGCAGCCTTGATATATAAATTAATATAAATTAATTATTTTAACAAGACAGTCATTTCTAAAATAATTTTTTTGAGGAGGTCACCTCCTAATAAATGTCATTAAGTAAAATCTAACTGCTCAGTTTAAATCAATACTTTATTTTTTAATACTTAAGTACAGAAATATCAAATACCTTAAAACTTTTACTCAAGTAATATTCCTATAGGAGACTTTAACTTTTACCAAAGTAACTTTTTGGTAAGATACTTGTACTTTTACTCAATTATCACTTTGTGGTACTTTATACATCACTGTTTTTTTTTTTTGCCTACTTTTAACTTTTACCTTGTGATTTTCTTCAACTTATTTCCAGCTTCATCGCCAAGTCATTCAACTTTTTTCAGAGAAAATGCTCATTTCTAATGTTTATTTCTTTGTCAAGATTCCCTTTAATTACAAAACAAAAACACTTTACAAGAAGAGCACAGAGGATGAGTGAACGAGGCTGATGAGGAGGTGAGGAGGAGCTGCAGGTGTGGCAGGACTGAGGARCAGAGAATATGAGCAAAAAAGGGCTGAAAAAATGAAAAAAATCACAGAATAAACGTCACAAATAAACATCCTGACTTTCTTCTTCCCTGCGGCTCACATCCAGAGGGGCTGCAGGGGGATCAGAGATAAACAGATTCTCTCTCGTCTGCGTTGGTGGGGTGCGTTTCATGGAACCAAAGAAAAACTTGTGTTCCCCCCTGTTGACCCCATCAAACCCCTCCAAACAGGAAGGAGTAAGCTGCTGCAGTTAATCCTGATTCATCTGTTTAGATCTGTGAGGCGGGTCAGGACCCCTCCAGCCTCCCTTCTTGTTCACTCTTAATTGGTCTAGTTTTTTTTATTCGGGGTGGGGGGGGTGTTCATCACAGGTGATTTTTGGGGTCCAGTAGATTTGAATCAGTCATTACTGGAGCAGGGTTTTCATTCCTGACAGTCTACTTGTGCATTATCTCCACCTACACCGACAGCCTGATGCCAGCAGAACAGTTAACTATTATAGCTTTCCTACTTATTTCTCTATTTCTGTCACTTCTTCTTCTTTGCAGCAGTTCTTGAACTGGGGAGGCAGTAACTTAGCAACAGGCTGAAGAATGGGAGCGGGCGCACGGCTCAAGATTCAATAAATGGACAAGTGAGGAGACAAGGAGCACCGTCTGCCTCGGCGGGCCCCACCTCACACTCCACTTAAGTTGATTTCTGTGGAACAGTCTGAACTTTCATCCGACTTTCTGCCTCGTTTTCCTCAGAGGTTTATTTGTCTCTTGTTTTAGAAGCTGGCAAACACTGAGTTAGATCTTTTATTATCAGGTTTCTGGGCAGGGTTGGCATCTCTGTCCTCTAAAAATAAACTGAAATAAAGGCCTGTTTTTCCTTGAAACAATGCGTATCTCCTGCCTCATTTTATGTTCGACTTTCACACCAAGTTTTAGCTCAAAATATATAAAATCGTCTGAGTTGTAGTCATTGTTGTACAGTCATCGACCACTGAACTGAGTAATAATAACCAAATAAGAACTGTATTAATCATTATGAGTTATTCTCCTTCATTTATAATCAAACATCAATATCGTATTTATATTTTATATGAACAATAATGCCAAACATTTAGGTGAAAGTTGTAGATTTTTCCAGTTTTTACATTTTACAACCAGCTTTTGAATGTTTCCTGCAGTGGCCTGTTGTGTCCAGCAGAGGGCGCAGTAAAACTCTGAAACCTTCATAAACTGTTTTTCTTGCATTAAAACCGTAATTAATAAAGTTTAAAACTACAGTTTCAATCAAATTCTGACCAAATTAGTAAATTATTAAATGACAAACGTAAAAAAACAGGATTAGTGCTTGTAATGCTTTTTACAGTGAAAAGGGAGGAGCTGAGCTTAAAGAATTATATGTCAAGCATTATTAGATTTTAGAGGTAATTTAATTTTCTTTTTTGGGCATTATTATTACTTTATTTAGCATGAATAATTTTCATATTTACGTTTGCATTTTTTTCTGCTTTCAGGAAGTAAAACAAAACAACATAGTGATGAGGTCTTCCTTCACAATAAAAACAACAAATCAAACTTTGTGTGTGAGCAGTTTGAGCTCTGCTCCATCAGACGGTGTGTCGGCCCACAGAAACGGGTCTCAGCTTGTCAGRACGTCCTGCAGGTCTTCAGCTGACAGGAGGAAGAGTTTCACTCACTGGATCAGGACCAGGACCATCTGAAACCGGCTCAGATCCGCGCCAGTCATGGGGTCTTCATCAGACCGTGTAGCGGTGCTCGTCCTCTTTTTATCTTCAGCTTCAAACGTCTTTGGTAAGATTTGTTTTTATTATTTTTTCATATTTATTATTATTATTTCTGGGTCTAGTTTTCTGAAGTTTCACCTGCTGAGGGGCGTTTTCCAGCTCTATGGTGCCACATTTACTGCTGATCAGAGTCATTTATCATAACTCTTAAAAATATAAATGCAGTTAAACAGGATGAGACTCCAGGGATCCCTCCACCTCTCCTTATAAGGGAGGGAAAAGTGCTGGATGTGTTTCTGCAGGGCGAGGTGACCTCCTCATATTCTCTGCTGCAGCTGAAAAAAAAAACAACTAAAAATACAGATCACTACTTAATTTAATAAATCTGATTTGTTTTTTTTGTTTTTTTTTGATCTGAGAATTTTATCAAAATCAGAAAAAGCTCCAGATTTGTAAAAATGATTATAAAAACAAAGACAGGTGGAGTTTTCTTTTTAAGTTAGAACAGAATAAAAACAGACTTTATTGTAAAGGTGAAGTTCAGGTGTAACAGCAGCAACAGATAGGTTTATTTATTTATTTATTTACACTTTAAAGGTTTGAAGATAACTTCCCTCAGAGTCCACCTGCCCACCCTGCTGTAGGAGACCCCCCAGGAACAGCTGAAACCACATAAAAACAGCTTAAAAACCAAAACTGTTCACATGGCTTCCACACATCCCAGAGATCATTCATGACATTTCTGCTGCTACATTTAGCCTTTTAGCTCCTGGTTTGCCTGATGTAGCATTTAGCTACGTTTAGACAATTTAAGCTTTTAGAGTTTTGCTTCATTTGGATTTGGGCTACTTGTCGGCTATTGCGTTTTAACTTTATCTGCAGTTTTCCAAACATTTGCTTGTTGCTACATTTTTTGCTGGTATAAATTTGTAGCTATTTTATATTGTAGCTTTTGATTTCAGCTGCTGTTGTTTTTCTTTTAGCTTTTACTCCTTTGTTAATGTTAACGTTTAGCTTAAGTTAAATTTGGCTATTTGTTTTAATACAGCTGCAGTTGTAGCTAATTTTAGTTTTTAACAATGGTTTCAGCTACTGTTTTTTTTTTTTAAATTGAAGCTTTTTGCTAAAGTTTTGCTAAATTTGGATTTTTGTGCACCGTTTTGCTTGTTATTTTCTATTTTTAACTTTGGCTGCATTTTTGTTTGAAATAGCTTTTATCTGCAGTTTTAGCTAATCTTAGTTTTTAGACTTGGTTGAACTAATTAAAGTTTTTTTTTTGTTGTTTTAGCTAATTTGAGCTATTAACTACAGTTTTAGCTATACTTGTTTTAAGCGTGTCCCTTTGTTGCTGCTAATTTTAGATTTTAGCTGCAGGGCAGCTACTTTTTTACTGTTTTGCTCTTTAAAACTTAAGCTACAGTATTCTTAATAAAAACTCTTTTTCTTATTTTGCTTTATAGACACAAATTTGCTGATTTTAGCTTTTAGCTTTGTTTCGTTGGTTGTTGTTTTGCTAGTTTTAGCTTTGACTTTTATTGAAAGGTTTGCTTATTTTCACTTTTAGCTGTGTTCAGATACTTTTAGCTTCTGCTCTGCTTGATTTAGCTTGTCTTACTCCTTCCACAGGTTTCAGCCGAGTCATTTTGCTCACATTTCTTTCGTTGTTTCGTTTGTTTGGTGCTGATTCCTCAGGTTCCAACGTCTGCACGTCCCGAGGAGTCACCACCTGTCAGCAGTGCCTCGCCGTTCATCCGAGCTGCGCCTGGTGCTCTCAGGAGGTAAAAACACCTCGGAAACTTTAGCTGCTCCTCCCATTAGAGCTCCTGAATCAAGTAGAAACAGAGAATCTGTTTCTCAACTGCATTTTTTCCCCTCCTTGCTCTGTTTGATGACCGTTGTTGTGATTCGTAGCGTTAACAGTTAACGCTGCTGTTTTACCAGCGTTTGACAGAATCCATGTGTGTGTTTAGGAGTTTGGGGTCGGGGGGTCCGGTCTTTCTCGCTGTGACGTCAAAGAGAACCTGCTCAAAGAGGGGTGCAGCTCGGCGGCTCTGGAGTTCCCCTCCAGCACTTTGACCGTCCTGAAGGACGTTCCCCTCAGCGACAAGGCTTCAGGTGCGGCTGATGACGTCACTCAGGTCCGGCCTCAGAAACTCCAGATGAAGTTAAGACCAGGTAGGTCCTCGCTCCCGAGCTCAGATCACCTCTGATTAATTTTATCGTAAAGATTTCTCTCTTCGGTTTCCAGGAGACTCCAAGGTGTTTACGGTGACAGTGAAGCAGGTGGAAGACTACCCCGTGGACCTCTACTACCTGATGGACCTCTCGTACTCGATGAAAGATGACTTGGATCGCCTGGTCACCTTGGGAAACAAGCTCGCCGAGACCATGGGCAAGACCACGAGCAAACTGCGCATGGGCTTTGGAGCGTTTGTGGACAAGACCAGCATGCCGTACATGTACACCTACCCTCCACAGGCCATCCCGAACCCCTGCTTTGAGTACGTAGCTGCGTTCGGTTGTTTGGTTTAGTTCGAACAACCCTCTGACCTTGTTTGCTCACTTATTAACAGCATAGGTGATCAGTGCATGGCTCAGTTCGGCTACAGGCACGTGTTGCCGCTGACGGAGCAGGTGTCTCGCTTCACAGAGGAAGTGAAGAAGCAGAAGGTGTCCAGAAATAGAGACGCTCCCGAGGGTGGATTCGACGCCGTCATCCAGGCGGTGGTGTGCAAGGTACAGTGTACGCTCTTCCACATGCCGTTTCTACACCTGCAGTCTCACGTTAATCTCCTCGTTAGGACAAGATCGGCTGGCGTCCAGATGCCTCTCATCTTCTGGTGTTGACCACGGACGCCAAAACCCACACGGCTCTCGATGCACGTATAGCCGGCATCGTCCAGCCCAATGATGGGCAGTGTTACCTCGACGACAACAACGTTTTCAACAAATCCGCCGTGCTGGTAGGAGGGAGAAGTTAAACTGTTTAAATTCAGATTTGATTGGTTTTAGGTTCTGTTCGACAGAAACTGATCCTCCTGTTCTCCAGGATTATCCCTCCTTGGCTCTCATAACAGACAAGATGTCTGAAAACAACATCAATTTGATCTTTGCTGTGACCAGCTACGTTGTGCCTCTTTACAAGGTAAAAAACAAAAAGTTCATTAAAGTGTTGCAGTGTGAACGATGAGAGCTGAATTAAAACTATTATTATAGTTATCAAAGAAAAAACAAAATAAATGGATAGTTAAAAACCAAAACTCAACAAAATGCTAGCTAAATGCTAAAAGCTGGACATTGATATAGGGACTTTGATAAAATTTTCAAACTTAAGAGCTGTTTTTCATTTTTGTACTAGTAAGACTATGTACAGATTCCAAAACAATTTAGTTTTTTTTATAATCGGACCACCCAGTAAGGATTTAGAGGTCTTTAAAGGATGAAAATTAGGAAGCAATTTCTCCATTGACTTCCATTATAACATTTTAAAAAGTGCGGCGCTCCATAGACATAGTGCACGTCACAATTTCACAATGATTTTTCAAACCAAAGCAGAAAACAAACGGTAGATAAAACCTTAACATAGATTTTGAAATGCTAAGCGGAGGGTAAGCACGAAAACGAGCGAAAAAAATCTCAAAAACCTGACCCACGCACTGCCAGGATCGAGCAGCGCATTTATCAAAGTCCCCATTTGACAGCTAACTGCAGCACAACATTTGTTAAAAGCTAAAATTAACAAAGGGCTAGCTAAAACTCAAGTTTAATAAAGTGGCAAAAGGCTATTTAAAAGTAGCAAATAGCCAGCTAAAATTCAAGGTTAATAAAGGTAAGCTAGAAGTGACAAATGGCCAACAAAATAGCTAGCTAAAACTGGGAAGCTAACCAGAAAAAACACAAAGGAGGAACGGCGAGTACAGCGAGCCCCCATCAGAGCCGGGCCCAAGGCGGGCTGCACCCGCGGTTCTGCGCTCAGAAAATTAAAATAAGTTGATCAGTAAGTGACTGATCAACAGATTTATCACCGAAGGATTATTAAAGATGACACAGAACAGAAACTTTGTAATGACCCGAGGGAGCTTAAAGCTGGACTGGTCTGTGATTTTGTGGAACTGTCTTGTGAAAGAGGCTTAAAAGTGACAAAAAGCTAACTAAAAGTAGCAAATCATTAGATAAAACTCAAGTTTAATAAGGGAAGCCAAAAGTGGCAAAAGGCTAAAAGTGGAAAAATGCTAGATAGAACCTGAAAGCGAAAGCCTCACTAACAGAGAGAAAAAGCAAATGACAACAGTAGCAAAATTTTAGCGAAGAGCTCCCAAAAAAATCCTGGCCAAAAGCTAAAAGTAGCAAGTGAAGACAAACATGGACCAAGTTTAATGAAGCAAAACAATTGTCTACTAAACAAGCTGAACATTTTGTTTTACACAACAAAGTAGCACAAAGTTTGCAGTAGTTGGAAAAAAGTATAGAAATAAAATAAAATAGATTTATTGTTGACTCATGTATTCTTCATTATACGACATTAAAATAATCTGGATTATCCTCTTACAACCATGTGTTTTATTCTCCACTCCAGGAGTACAGTCAGATCATGCCTGGGACGACTGTGGGAATGCTGTCAGATGACTCTGGGAATGTAATCCAGCTGATTGAGGATGCATATGCGGTAAAAATAAATAAATAATAATAATAATAATAAACTTTTTGTTGTTTAGTATGTGGAGAATGTGTCTTGTATATTTTGACTGAAATGATAACCATGAGTTTATGCGAGCAGAAAATCCGCTCTAAAGTGGAGCTGGAGCTGCTGGGAGTCCCAGATGAGTTGAATCTGTCCTTCAACGCCACCTGCCTGAACGGAGAAATCATCCCTGGACTCAAGTCCTGCTCTGGACTGAAGATTGGGGACACGGTACACATCGTTTTTGATTTGTTTTAATTCGTACAGACGTCTCTGACCTGAACAGTTTCCTTTCTGTAGGTGTCTTTCAGCGTRGAGGCTCAGCTGCGTGGCTGCCCTAAAGAGAAGAGCCGCACCTTTACCCTCAAACCTCTGGGCTTCAAGGACTCCCTGGAGGTCAGGGTGGACTTCGCCTGCGGCTGCGACTGCGAGGCGAAGGCGGTGCCCGACAGTGTGGTCTGCAGCGGCGGCAACGGAACCTACGAGTGCGGCGTTTGCCAGTGTCACCAAGGTCGGCTGGGTCCGCGGTGCGAGTGCTCGCTGGAGGACTCCAGCTCCTCCGACGATTCCAACTGCGTCCCAAAATCAGGGGGCCCGATGTGCAGCGGGCGAGGCGACTGCTTGTGCGGACAGTGCTCCTGTCACGCTAACGACTTCGGTCAGGTGTGGGGGAAGTACTGCGAGTGTGACGACTTCAACTGTCTGCGCTTCAAGGGGGTCCTGTGCTCTGGTGAGTGGACACACCTCGTTTTCACTGCTTCAGTCGTGTGCTTTGATTCTGACACTGAACAGAAGAGGGTCTCTGCAGACAGGAAGTGGGAGGTTCTTGGTGTGTGGGCGGAGCTTTTAGAAAACGTACATGTCAATTGTACGTTTTGTCCGTTAATTACACAAATTTTCACCCATTTTGCAGGAATACGGTTGTATAGAGAAATGAAAAATGTGTTTTAAAACTCATTTTCAACATTTTTCACATCTCAGAGCCTGTAGGACGTAAAAAAGCCCAATAAATAAAATYAAATAACCCACCTCCCAACCTGCTTCATCGCTTTCGAGCATGTTGATGTGCCACAAAATTGTGTCATTTATAGCAGAGGTTCTCAAACATGGGTCCCAGGACCCCCAGGGGTCCGAGAGTCGTACCTTGGGGG